AGACGTTTTGGTGGGGTGTTCAGTTCTATTTGTATGTCTTCAAGGTTTGAATAAGCCTTGGGGGAATGTTTAAAGTGGCCCACTAATTTTCTCCCGTTGACTAGAGCATCATTTACAGCTCGCTGTGACAACACACCTTCATGGACCACAACCTGAAGGCTGTGAGCAAAACATCCTAAGCTTGGCACTTGCAGCTGATCCATAGCTTTTTTCATGTTAGCAGCATTGTCTCTTAAAACAACATGGGACCTTTGTTTTGTCGATCTTCCAGTCACGCAGCATCTCCTCCATGGCGTTCATGATGGCATTAGCTCTGTGTGAACCTCTGAACTCGCGTGCGTGTAACACTGCTCTCCACAATGTAAATTCAGCGTCTATCCAGTGTGCAGTCAGACTTAATAAGGACAGCGGACAGTGGTCTGAGCTCCAAATGTCCGTGGTGAAGCTAACAGCATTAGCTTTCTCCAGACGGGTAACAATGCACTTTTGACTTCTTTATGCATCTGCGGTATAGTTTTGTCTACAATATAGTGGCGGCTAGGCATAATGTAGCGAGGCTCGAGGTGCTCAATTAGCCGTTTAAACCCGACATTACTCACCACCGACAGGGGCTGGTCGTCGAGCACAATAAACTGCGCTAGCTTCTCTGTTATGGCTAATGCCTTTTTACCGTCCTGGGGCAATTTGTCACGTTTTGCAAATGTTTCGGACAGCGTTGGTTGTTTAAGGGAGCCAGAACTTTGTTTCTTCGCCTTTGTGGCCTTGCGAAAACCCTCATGCTGTATTTTGTGATGCTGCTTCAAATGCGCGATGAGATTTGTTGTATTAAATTTCCCCCTGCTCTGTCCCACCACGGAGAACTTGTGCGTTACATGTTTTGCACTCGGCAGCAATGTCTTTTTCAGATTTGACCAAAAATACTGCCACACCGCTGACATCACTGCTCTTCCTTGCTACTTTCTTGTTAGCCCGCTGGCTGCTCTGCTGTTGTTAGCCTGCTGCTCTGCTGTTGTGATCACGTGGGRTCTGCACGCTGGTTCCAAGCGCTGCTGGATAGAAACACTGGAGCGGAGTCAGTGGACTGCTGGATTGAACTGCTTATATCGGAGCGCTTATATCGGACATTTTTTATGCAGGCCGATAAAATCCGATACTTGTTTTTTGGCTGATATCGGACCGATATCCGATATCAATTTCGGATCAGGACACCCCTATATGCTGCTCTAAAATCTATCTATACCTTTCTGCATTCTTGGTACATTTTCAGATGTGTAAACTGTCTATGCTTGAGGCTCTAACACACACCGATCGTACTCTCATCTTTAGTACAGAGGATGTGGAGAATTACAGACTTAGATTCTCTGGCCAGCGTTTTTGGATGGTATTCACATGTAAAATAATAAAAATATAAAACAATGACCTGAGTCATGTTTTGTCATAACTAATACAAAGCTTTAAATTTGATTTGTAAATTAAAAAAATTATGTTTCCTAAAAACCTGGGAAAATTTGGTATTATTTTGTTATTTTAGGAAAGTGTTACTTTGCATGTTAGAGCTTTAGGCAGCATGTGTGGATGGATTTGTGGAGAACTGTGTTTACAGACGATTTTTGGGAATGTTCCTCAGCGAATGATTAACTTATTTTTAATGCATCGGCCCCTGAGGACCTGAAGATCCCAACCATCAACTAGACATGGGTTTTTACGATGTAAAAACAAGTGTACATTGCCATGTAGCATGTCTGCCTGCAGCAGTGCACTTGCAGAATGATCTGTGACCAAGTTCAAATGTGTTTTGTATACCAGCTTGTGCCTGTCAAATCAGCAGGTGTTTGTAATGAGCATAATTGTATAACAATATGATGTG